AAGACATATTACAGAAATTAAGATAATTTTGATTGGTTTCATGATGAAAAGTACCTCAAAATTGAGCTCAAAGTAGCAGAAATGTTTGATATTTGCCAGTGTTCCAAAGGAAACAAATCATGCCACGCATCCAATACACATCAACTGGTGAGTCGAATCTTCTTTCATAAGTGCGCTGATATTATTTATATCATTTCCACACTAATTCAGTAGTGCATAACAGTAAATCTATTTTTTTGTGAGAATAAAAATTCACATGGAAAGCAAAAGAAATGTAAGAGGGACCTGGGGACATGACTAATGAATGGAGAAAATGTTATTTTAGTGCCAAGAATGTCTTGTCTTGTTTATTCTAGACCCTATTTGGAAATTGACATCTTTTGAAATTTGTGTGAAATTGCCAAAATTGCCAATTTCTGACCACTTTATTGGATAGTTGAAATCGGTAATTGGGGGGTTTCTTGCACTCATTCAATAGAAAAAACGGAGTTCTAGCGAAATAGTTATCACTTTTGTCGACTGGTATATTGGAATTGGCCGAAAATAGGGCTCAAAGTGAGCGAAATCGCCGCTGCGTATACATCGTTGAGACTGCTAACTTCACGAGAGCATAATTCCATAAGTTTTCCATCAAATTTCATACTTTTGGTGTGATTATGATTAGGAAAAGGTTCTCTATCATTTCACAAGATATTTTTTTTTTTTTTTTTTTTTTTTTTTTTTTTTTTTAATTTTTGACCCTGAGAACAAGTTTAGGAGAGGGCCTCTCGACCCTGAAAGGGTTAATTGTACAAAGTGATGCTTCATTAAGGTCATAGGCTATCTCTTGTCTAATATCTCTATTTTCTTCATTACTGTACTTCTAAGACTTAAACACTTATACCTTTTCTTGCCACTTTCAGCAACACTCGTATGCCTATTGGATGCTGTGATTCTTGGCAGATACAAGATATAACAGTTAAAAGATCAAAACAATTCACAAACACAGCTAGCTCCTAAGACGGAACTGAGCACATATTCATGAAGATGGGGATGGGAGTGTTGGCGGTGGGGAAATTTTTCCGCTCCTGCAAACGGAACCATGTTAAGTTAATTTTACAAAGTGTTGTATAAAATTGTGTTGCAATTTTTCAGTAGTGCAATAACCAAAACATGGCACATAAATCTGTGTATTATAACAGTCTACTGTATATTAGAGCTGATTTCTTCTATTCTGTTTATTACAATATACAGTACACTACTGTATAAACATTTAAAAATATACCATAAATGTTATAAATGGTGCAAAGGTGGCACTAATACAATATCAAAGATGGTTGACACAGCCCCAATACCATTAGAGTATGCTCCTCACTTAGCAAAGAATTCATTTACTTACATGGTCTTACGAACAGAACTCCATCGTTAAGTGAGGAGAGGCTGTATTTCAGTCTTTTTATTTTTTTATAAATAAATTTTCTGTGTTTTTATTAATGAATTAAAATAAATATGTGAACAATTAACCCCTTGACTGTCGCAATCCCAAATCTTGAGGTGTCTCCTGGTGTCACAAAATCCCCCCCCATAATTTTGTTTTCTTATGAAATGATAGAGAATCTTTTCCCGATTGTAATGACACCAAAAGAACGAAATTTGATGGAAAACTGACGGAATTACCTCTCGCGAAGTTAGCAACTTCGGCGATATTTATGAATCGGCGATTTCGCCCACTTTGAGCCCTATTTTTGGCTAATTCCATTGTTCCAGTCGACCGAACTCATAGCTATTTCTTTAGAACTCCATTTTTTCTATCGATTGAGTACAAGAAACTGCTCATTTACCGATTTCAACTACCCAATAACGTGGTCAGAAATTGGCAATTTGACCAATTTCACGAAAATTAAAAAATGTGAGTTTCAAAATAGGGCCCAGAATGAACAATGCAGACATTCCTGGCTCTAAAATAACATTTTCTTTGTTCATCAGTCACGTCTCCAGGCCCTTCTGATATTACTCTTGTTTCTATTTTGAATTTTTATTCACACAAAAAACTGAAGATTTACTGTTATGCAGTCTACTGCAATATTGTAATAACTGTATAAATAATGTCAACCCATTCATGACTGCATATTAGAATGGCTAGTTGGATATTTATTGGAAAATGACATCATTTGTTTACTTTTGAACATCGGTAAAAATCAAACATTTTCCCTACTTTGAGCTCCATTTCAAGGTTCTTTTCCTAGTAAAACCAATCAGAATCAATCCATTTCTATAATATGTTTTCCATTCTATCAAATGATACCAAGAAAACAAGAATACAACCATAAATGCTATATGAAAATAGACCACAAAGTCGACATTTTAATTAAAAAAAAAGGTCAGAGTTTTTTTTCTCATTATGCACTGTGTGCTGCAGGATTTTTTTTTATATGGTACACACTGACCACACAGACCCATTCTCTCATACGTGGGCCTACCAGCTTTCTCCTGCTTGATTTGAAGCCGCTAGAATTTATGAGTATATATATGTCCAAAACTGTGGCTCGTAAGACGTATATGTACGACCGAAACAGTCAAAAGGTTAAATCAGTATTACGTACCTTTATTGATGACTCTTCTTGGCTTATGGAAGATAGGGAGGAGGAGAGAGGGAGTTGGGGTTATTGTTCGGAAGGGGAATCCCCTAAAAATTATGACTATGGGTAACAAGTCCCTCTCTGGGGTTACTGCCCTTCTTTGCCTTTTAATGCCACTAGGACCAGCTTGAAAGTTGCACAGAATAACTATCAAGAGTGCTCTGCTTCTGGCATCTCTAAGATTTCCCTGAAGTGGGACAAAGTTTTGTCACTGAACATGTTGCAGATATGGCTTGTTTCAGCTTAGTCAGGATGGTATTTCTCTACAAAAGCTTGCACCCTAGTCCACATTGCAGAAATCTCTTTAATCTCCAAAGAAGGCACCTCCTTCACTCCCTCTTCCTCCTTCTGCTCTGAAGCAAATTCCTCAGCTGCAGTCTGTTGCTGTTCGAGTTGAAGCTCTTGCAGCTCTTCAGTGGTTAGTTCTTTCCTGTGGTCATCCACCAACTCTTCCACATCCTTGCCACTAACCTCCAACCCCATGGACTTCCCCAATGCCACAAAAGAATCCACAACAGGCAGAAGGTCCTCAGGGTTAGCCTCAAACCCTTCAAAATCCCTCTCTTGGACACCACCTAGCCTCAGTTTTCTCCAAGCAGAGTTCAAAGTCCTGGAAATCACTCCCTGCCAAGCCTTACCTATAAGGCTTATGCAGTGGAGGATACTGAAGTGATTCCTCCAGAACTCTCTTAGGGTCAGATTTGCGTCCAAGGTCTCTTCAAAGCACCTTTGAAACACTGCTTTGGTATAGAGTTTTTTGAAGTTAGAAATGACCTGCTGGTCCATGGGCTGGAGGAGAGGAGTGGAGTTAGGAGGCAAGAACTTCACTGTTATAAACCTGAAGTTCATAAACAACTGGTCTTCCAAGGCTGGAGGATGAGCAAGAGCATTGTCCAGTACCAGGAGGCATTTAAGTGGTATTTTTTCACACTTGGGTCAAACACATCATTGACCCACTCTTTGAAAATTTGTGTTGTGACCCATGCCTTATTATTAGCTTTCCACATCACACACAATTTACTCTTGAAGACATTGTTTTTTCTTGAACACTCAGAAATCCCCACTAGTATTATCACAGAACAAAAGAGTAAGCCTGTCTTTCATAGGCTTGTGGCCTGGCAGTGCCTTTTCCTCCAGAGTAAAGTAGGTCCTCTTTAGCATTTTCTTCCAAAACAGGCCTGTTTCATCACAACTGAACACTTGTTGGGGTTTGAATCCTTCAGCCTTTATGTACCCTCGGAATTCCTGTACGAATTTTTCAGTCGCACATTTGTCAGAACTTGCAGCTCCGCCATGCCTTACCACACTGTGTATGCCATTACGCTTCTTAAATCTCTCAAACCAGCCTATGCTGGCCCTAAATTCACTAACATCAGCACTTGTTCCAGACATATTCTTTACAAGATCTGCATGCAACTGCCTTGCCTTCACACAAATACAGTGGACCCCCGCATAACGATTACCTCCGAATGCGACCAATTATGTAAGTGTATTTATGTAAGTGCGTTTGTACGTGTATGTTTGGGGGTCTGAAATGGACTAATCTACTTCACAATATTTCTTATGGGAACAAATTCGGTCAGTACTGACACCTGAACATACTTCTGGAGTGAAAAAAAATCGTTAACAGGGGGTCCACTGTAATAGATTCCACAGCCCTGTCTCCTGCTAATTGTTTTTCAGCGATCCACAACAACAATAACTTCTCCATATTTTCAATTATTGGTGGCCTTTGTTTGGTTAGCACATTTACCCCTTTTGCCACATCAGTTTGCCTGATTTGTTCTTTTTTTGCCAGGATAGAAGTGACTGTTGATTTCATTTTTCCCATACATCCTGGCAAGCTCAAGCACTCGAAGGCCACTCTCTTATTTTTCAACATCTTTCTTTCTTAAATTCCACAGTATTTCTCACTTTCTTTACCAAATGAACTTTACTAGGAACCTTCTTTGGGGCCATGGTAACTTATTTTGCAGTTGCACTTAATGAAAAACCTCCAAAAACAATGGAAATGTTTGGATAAATGAGCACAACCTTCCTCACTCGCCCAAAGACACAGCTAGACTGACGCGCAAGCTGCGGTGGCCGGCTGGTCGACGCGTCTCATATGGCCGATAAGCAAAATAACGGCCAATAACCAGAAGCCGAAAACCCAACTGATAACCAAGTTGTCTGATAGCTGGAATGGCCGATAACCAAGGGTTCACTGTGTTATGTATTAAGAAAGATGAGGCTGGCCATCTATGAATGTTTCAGCACATACATGCACATGAGTATAAGTAATGTACTAATACATAGTATACTCCATCTCATATAGAACACTAATTCTGCCTGCTAAGGAGAGTTACCTATTGCTTTCTAGCTTTTATGTTTTATTTTCAGTGGGGTGAGGTTGCACGTGATGGCCGAAGAGCACCAATTGCTGATTACTTGCGATTCACAAGAAGTATCGACACTCAGACACCAGCTCGAGGGTCATCTGTGTCTGCAACCAGTTCCAACCACACATCACCTTCCCTCTCTCCACCAACCTCTCCGCCACCTAGCCTGGATGCTGCCATGCCACCCTCGACCCCAAGCCCATCTGGGGCTCCAACACTGGCCACTTCCCCGCACATAAATAAATTTTTGGCTAGGGAGCCCCCTGATGGCTGTGAGAGAGTGGCTCTCAAGCAGCATGAAGACAGGTAATAGAGTAGTATTTTTCTTAGCTCTGTATCTTTCTAGAAATAATATTTTTTGTTATCAGTGAATGCTGTTACATTTTACACAATACAGGTGACCCAAAAGTCTGAAACCAAGAAGTTATGTATGGAAGAAAAACATTGGAAATAAATGATCTCAATGTTTCCATCTTTAAAAAAAACATTGCAAACTATACGTCTTCTCTACAAGACTTATTAAAGCCATATAGCATGGCCTAATTGAATACACTCAGTTCTCTTGTATTCATTGTAACTCGTCTAATGACCATATGTACTGTTATTGCCTTATTACTCTTAAGTTAATTTTAGATTTGCCCGAAATGCTCTGCATATAAAGGGGCTTTTGGCATTTATACCCAACTATTATATTCCTTGGTATAAACGTGTCATGTCAAAATAAATTATTATTATTATTATTGTTGTTGTTGTTGTTATTACAGTGGACCCTCGTTTTTCGCAATTAACCCTTTCAGGGTTTCCGACGTACTAGTACGGCTTATGTACCAGGGTTATTGACGTACTAGTACGCCTAAATTCTAGCGCCTTCAAATCTAGTGAGAGAAAGCTGGTAGGACTACTTATGAAAGAATGGGTCTATGTGGTTAGTGTGCACAGCATAAAAAAAATCCTGCAGCACACAGTGTGTAATGAGAAAAAAAAAACTGGCTGTGTTTTTGGTTTAAAACAGCAACTTTGTACTGTATTTTTGTATGGTATTTATGGTTGTATTCTAGTTTTCCTGGTCTCATTTTATAGAATGGAAGATATATTACAGAAATTGACATGATTTTGATTCGTTTCACAAAGAAAAGTACCTTGAAATTGAGCTCAAAGTAGCAGAAATGTTCGATTTTTGCCAAGTTCAAAAGTAAACAAATCATGCCATGCTTCCAATGCACGTCAACTGGTGAGTCTAATATTCTTTCACAAATGCGCTGATATTATTTATACCATTTCTACACTAATGCAGTAGTCTGCATAACAGTAAATCTTCTATTTTTTGTGAGAATAAAAATTCAAAGTGGAAAGCAAAAGAAATGTAAGAGGGGCCTGGGGACATGACTAATAAACAGAGGAAATGTTATTTTAGTGCCAGGAATGTCTGTCTTGTTTATTCTGGACCCTATTTGGAAATTGGCATCTTTTGAAATTTGTGTGAAATTGGCAAAATTGCTAATTTCTGACCATTTTATTGGATAGTTGAAATCGATAAATGGGTGGTTTCTTGTACTCATTCGATAGAAAAAATGGAGTTCTAGCAAAATAGTTATGATATTTGTCGACTAGTAAACTGGAATTGGCTGAAAATAGGGCTCAAAGTCGGCGAAATTGCTGATGCGTAAACATCGTCGAGACCGCAAACTTTGCGAGAGCATAATTCCATAAGATTTCCATCAAAGTTCATACTTTTGGTGTCATTATGATTGGGAAAAGATTCTCCATCTTTTCATAAGATTTTTTTTTTTTTTTTTTTTTTCAAAAAAAATTTCAGCCCTGAGAACAAGTTTAGGAGAGGGCCTCTCGACCCTGAAAGGGTTAATCCGTTCCAGGAACTGTGACTATTTTTGAAATTGACGATTTTCGAATCCATTTTCCCCATAAGAAATAATGTAAATACAGTGGACCCCCGCATACCGTTGGCATCACATAACAATTAATCCGCATACCGCTTGCTTTAATCGCAAAAATTTTGCCTCGCATACCGCTTAAAAACCCGCTCACCGCTGTTCGTCCGAGACGCGTCCAATGTGCGCCCTCAGCCAGCCTCACATGTGCCGCCCGTGCCATTGTTTACCAGCCAGCCTCCGCGGTAACATCCAAGCATACAATCGGAATATTTCATATTATTACAGTGTTTTCGGTGCTTTATCTGGAAAATAAGTGACCATGGGCCCCAAGAAAGCTTCTAGTGCCAACCCTACAGCAATAAGGGTGAGAATTCCAATAGAGATGAAGAAAGAGATCATTGATAAGTATGAAAGTGGAGTGCATATCGCCGACCTGGCCAGGTTGTACAAGAAACCCCAATCAACCATCGCTACTATTGTGGGCACCAGAAAGGCAATCAAGGAAGCTGTTCTTGCCAAAGGTTTAACTGTGTTTTCGAAACAAAGATCGCAAGTGATGGAAGATGTTGAGAGACTCTTATTGGTGTGGATAAATGAAAAACAGCTAGCAGGAGATAGCGTCTCTCAAGCGATCATAAGCGAAAAGGCTAGGAAGTTGCATGAGGATTTAATTAAAAAAATGCCTGCAACTAGTGCTGATGTGAGTGAATTTAAGGGCCAGCAAAGGTTGGTTTGAGAGATTTAAGAAGCGTATGGCATACATAGTGTGATAAGGCATGGTGAGGCTGCCAGTTCGGACCACAAAGCAGCTGAAAAATATGTGCAGGAATTCAAGAAGTACATAGACAGTGAAGGACTGAAACCTGAACAAGTGTTTAATTGTGATGAAACAGGCCTGTTTTGGAAGAAAATGCCAAGCAGGACCTACATTACTCAGGAGGAAAAGGCACTCCCAGGACATAAGCCTATGAAAGACAGGCTTACTTTGTTGATGTGTTCCAATGCTACTGGTGATTGCAAAGTGAAGCCTTTATTAGTGTATCACTCTGAAACTCCCAGACCGTTCAGGCAAAAGAATGCCCTCAAGGAGAATTTGTGTGTGCTGTGGAGGGCAAACAGTAAGGCATGGGTCACTAGGGACTTTTTCTATGACTGGTTACACCATGCATTTGCCCCCAATGTGAAAGATTACCTAACTGAAAAGAAATTAGAACTTAAGTGCCTCCTGGTGTTAGACAATGCCCCTGGTCATCCTACAGACGTGGCAGAGCGACTTTATGGGGACATGAAATTCATTAAGGTGAAGATTTTGCCTCCTAATACCACTCCTCTCCTGCAGCCCATGGACCAGCAGGTTATTGCAAACTTCAAAAAACTGTACACAAAAGCTCTGTTTGAAAGGTGCTTTGTAGTGACCTCAGAAACTCAACTGACTCTAAGAGAGTTTTGGAGAGAGCACTTTAATAATCCTCAATTGTGTAAACCTTATAGGTAAGGCTTGGAGGGAGTGACTAAGAAGACCTTGAACTCTGCTTGGAAGAAACTGTGGCCAGAATGTGTAGACAAAAGGGATTTTGAAGGGTTTGAGGCTAACCCTGAGAGGATTATGCCAGTTGAGGAATCCATTGTGGCATTGGAAAGTCCTTGGGGTTGGAGGTTAGTGGGGAGGATGTGGATGATTGGTGGGAGGAGACAATGAAGAACTAACCACTGATGAGCTGATAGATCAACTTCAAGAGCAAGAGGCCAGACCTGAGGAAACTGGTTCAGAGGAGGGGAGAGAGAAATTGAAGAGGTTGCCTACTACAAAGATTAAGGAAATCTGTGCAAAGTGGCTTGAAGTTCAAACCTTCATGGATGAAAATCACCCTCCACAGCTATTGCAAGCCGTGTTGGCAACCTGTACACTGACAATGTTGTGAAACACTTTAGGGAAGTCATAAAGGAACGAGAGGTACAGGCCACTATGGACAGATATGTTGTGTGAAAGAAGTCCAGTGACTCTGAAGCTGGTCCTAGTGGCATTAAAAGAAGAAGGGAAGTAACCCCAGAAAAGGACTCGACACCTCAAGTCTTAATGGAAGGGGATTCCCCTTCTAAACACTAACACTCTCTCTCCCCTCCTCCCATCCCATCAGTCATCACCAGATCTTCAATAAAAGTAAGTGTCATGTAATTGTGCATGCCTTTTTCAGTTTGTGTGTATTAAAATTAACATTTCACGTGGTAAAAATTTTTTTTTTTCATTCTTTTGGGTGGCTTGCACGGATTAATTTGATTTCCATTATTTCTTATGGGGAAAATTCATTCGCATACCGATTATTTCGCATACCAATGAGCCCTCTTGCACGGATTAAAATTGGTATGCGGGGGTCCACTGTACAATTAATCTGTTCCAGACACCCAGAACTATTAAAACAAAAATTTTTTTTACACAAAATATAAATGTGGTACATACACAATACACTGGGACATGATGAATGAAACATTAACAGCATAACACTTACCTTTATTGGCGATTCTTCTTAGTGTATGGAAGACTGGAGGAGGGGAGAGATTGGATTAATTTACTGTTTGGAAGGGGAATCCCCTTCCATCAACACCTCAGGTACCAAGTCCTTTTCTGGGGTTACTTCTCTTCTCTGTTTCTTAATGCCGCTAGGACCAGCTTGAGAGTCACTGGAGCCCTGTCTCACAAAAAAAGTGTCCAGAGAGCTCTGTTTCTGGCATCTCTTTAAAACTTCCCTAAAATGGCCCAAGACTTTGTCACTGTACAAGTTGTCGATGTGGCTTGCAACAGCCTTGTCAGGGTGATGTTTCTCCATAAATCTTTCCATCCTACCCCACATTTCAAAAATCTCCTTAATTTCTGAAGAAGGCAACTTCTTCTATCTCTCTTCCTCCTCTGCAGCAATATTCCGAGCTGCAGTCTGTTGCTGTTCCAGCTGAAGCTCTCGCAGCTCCTCAGTGGTTAGCTCTTCATTGTGATCCTCCACCAACTCTTCCACATCTTCCAAACTCACATCCAACCCCATGGAACTTCCCAATGCCACAATAGATTCCACAACTGCCATAGGCTTGTCAGGGTCAGCCCCAAACCCTTCAAAATCCCTCTTGTGGACACAATCTGGCCACAATTTTCTCCAAGCAGAGTTCAAAGTCCTGGTAGTCACTCCCTCCCAAGCCTTACCTATAGGGTTTATGTAATGGAGGATACTGAAGTGATCTTTCCAAAACTCTCTTAAGGTCAAGTGAGTGTCTGAGGTCACATTAAAGCACTTTGAAACATTTCTTTGGTGTAGAGTTTTTTATAGTCTGAAATGATCTGCTGGTCCATGGGCTGGAGGAGAGAAGTGGTGTTAGGGGGCAAGAACTTTACTGTGATTAACCCATACTCCTCCAGAATTAGGTCAT